TGCCATCTGGGCATCAGACACACTGGTGCAAATCATCAGCTGGGAGCTCTTGGAGGACATGACCCTTCAGGGATCTAGTAGAAACTTCTCGTCTCCTCTGTAATCTAAAGAAAAAGCTGCAAACAGACAAACTTTGCCTGCCGGTCAGAGCATGGACCTCAGGTTCAACCCTCCAGGTTTAAGAGCCAAGTCTACCAAGCTGCTAGGATAGGAGAGGCTCACCAGGGACCAGGGAGCCAGCTCAGGGTATCCAGAGCAGGGTCTTCCCAGGCACCTCTCCTGACTGCTCAGTCTCAGTCAATCCATGGATGACTATTTGTTGGGCCCTGTGTGGGCTTCGTATTGTATTGGTTACTGGAAATGGGCCTACCAGCAAGAGTGAAACCCAAGAGATCCTGCCAACCAGGACTTGTGGGAGAGGCAGAAGCCACTTGGGGTGGATCCTTCTGTTTGTCCTCAAGAAAGGGGCCTGGACATAAGAGGGGCATTCTCAGGTGGTGGCACAAAACTGTCCTTAGGTTCTATCAGTGTCCACCCGGACCAAGCACTAGTGTAGCCCTGTCAAGTCATGCCAGGTGGACTCAAGGGCTCCTCATGCCCCTCCCCAACCCAATGGGCTCAGAAAGACTTGGGTCCAGGCGAAAGCAGCTCGGATCAGTGGGGAGCACTGTGCTCCTAGAACTATAAATGTTGCTTTTGACACTGGCTCCACCACACACCTTGTGACCTCAGCCAAGTTCTTGAATTGTTTTCAGGTCCTTGGTTTGCTGCTTTGTCAAAAAAGATAATAACTTCTATTCTGCCTAATTTATTCATCAACAGATGTGTAAAATCCCTATGTGCCCAGCACTGTTGCAAAACACTCGTACAAGGCAGTCAAGGTCTCCTCTCTCAGGGAGCTGAGCTGCTCGTGAGCAGACATTCTTTGAAATACAGTGGTGGAGGAAAAGCAGAGCAGGGTGAGGGTCAGAGAGGGCTGGTCAGGAGAGGTCGCTTGAGGGCTTGACTTTTACATGGAGTTCTGAACAAAGGAATGGGTGAATCATGTGGATGTTTGGGAAAGAGCATTCTAAGCAAGGGAAGAGCAGGAACCCCGAGAAATGAATGTGCCTGGGCAGCTCAAGGCTGAGCAAGAGAACAGTTCGGGAAATGCTAGGAACACGTGGAATCCAGCCTGAGCAATGCTGTCACAGCATAACTTAGACCAGGTGTCGGCAACCTGCGGCTCCAGAGCCGCATGCGGCTCTTTTGAAGCTTTACCACGGCTCCGACAACTTGCAAGCCTGTGTGAAAATGAAGGTAACGTCTTACAGCCCTGATGTGCTGACACTGTGCACTGAGGTTCAGGAGCAAAAATCCCATTGACCAGGTAAATTAAAAATTTTAATTAGCAAAAATATATTTTACATTGTTAAGTGAAAAAGTCCTTTTTTTCTTCAGATTGACAGCTAACTGCACGATCCGGCATATAGCATTAAGGTAAGAAACAATATATGCAGTGTTAGATTTGTTTTAAATGTCGCAATGGTTTTGTGGCTCCCAGGTTTTTTTTCCCTTCGGAAACGGGTCCTTACAGGGCCCTATAGGGCCCCTCGTGATGCTCCTCACTACACAACACACACACACACACACACACACACACACACACACACACACCCGTCCACCACTTCCAAGCTCCCGTTCTCCAGCCACACTCCCCCATGGCTGTTACACCTGCCTTGAGACGTTACTCTAACTCAGGGCTCAGAATCACCTGCAGGGCTTATTAAAGTGCAAATAGCTGAGCCTCAGCCCAGCTACTGTTTCAGAAGCTGATCAGTCTGGGGTGGGGTCCCAGAATGTCCATTTCTAACAAGGCCCTTGGTACTACAATTTGGCAAGCACAGACCAGTGTTCCCTATGCTAGGACCACTCTGGCCCAAACACCATGTGACTAATACCTCCTCACCCCCCTTCAAGTCTTGCTCAAACCAAACGGTCTCAGTGAGGCCTACTCTGACCATCCTGTGCAATACTGCAACCCTCCTCCCCCCAGTACTCCCCTGCCCCTCCCCCGGTCTCTTCCCTACTTACTTCTCCTTTTTTCCACAGTACCTGCACTTTCAAACATGTGGATAATTATTTTACTTAGATCCCTGCTAACTACATGTCCCCAAGTACCTAAGAGGGTTTCTTAACCCAGGCTCCATGAATCCCACGGAGAGCCACTAACCAGCCAAATTTCTATGTAATAGTTTGTGACCATGATGTCTGTAGCTTTCATTGAATTACTTGATCCTGAAATCTTAAAAACCACTAACAGATCAATGCTTGGCATAGAGCAGTTGTTCAAAATAATATTTGTTGACTAAATTAAAGAACCTTTTTAACATTATTCACCCATTTTTTGTTGTTGTTGTTGTTGTTTTTAAACAAGGAAAACTGTATAGTGGTATAATGGCTTCCAATTGTTGGTGCCCTTGGATCAACTATGTCAGAATAACAAGGTTACTTTTGAAAAGTATAAATTCTTATTATTCAAAATACCCTCAGAAAGTCTGAGTCAGGAGGGTGGGGTGGGGCCAGGGATTGGATACTTTTCTTAAAAATATATTTAAATTTTTTAAAATATATATATTTTATTGATTTTTCACAGAGAGGAAGAGAGAGGGATAGAGAGTTAGAAACATCGATGAGAGAGAAACATCGATCAGCTGCCTCTTGCACACCTCCTCTGGGGATGTGCCCATAACCAAGGTACATGCCCTTGTCCGGAATTGAACCCGGGACCTTTCAGTCCGCAGGCCGATGCTCTATCCACTGAGCCAAACTGGTTAGGGTAGTGGTTCTCAACCTTTCTAATGCCGCAACCTTTTAGAGTTCCTCTTATTGTGGTGACCCCCAACGATAAAATTATTTTCATTGCTACTTCATAATAGTAACTTTGCTACTGTTAATGAATCGTAATGTAAATATCTGTGTTTTCCAATGGTCTCAGGTTCTACAGCAGCAATTCTCAACCTGTGGATCTCGACCCAGAAACCACTAGCAGGGTTGCCTAAAACCATTGGAAAACACAGATATTTACAATTCATAACAGTAGCAAAATTACAGTTATGAAGTAGCAACGAAATAATTTTATGGTGGGTGGTCACCACAACATGAGGAACTGTATTAAAGGATCGAGGCATTAGAAAGGTTGAGAACCACGGGTTGGGGTGATTCCGTATTTTTCAAAGCCCCCTCCTCTCCACCCTCATACATCCCAGGTGTGTCTGAGGTGTGGCCAGGTTTAGGAATTTCTGTGTGAGGCCTTAACTGGAGAGAGAGAGACTCAGGACAATCTATTCTGGTGTGCCTCTCTTACACTTTGCAAAAAATGTGAACACACCTATGGTCCCCTGTGACCTTCTCACAAACTCTCAGGGTGACATGGCAGAAGCTACAATCTCCCTTTCCCCGCACAGAAAACTGAGGCCCTGGGAACCAACCGCATGATACCCTCCTCCCAACACACAAAGGTCATACTGTTTGCAGGTGGTGGAGATATGAACTAGGGCCTCTGGACTCTCACTCTGGGGCTCTCCTCTCTGCACCAACTGGATAAACCCAAGTTCCAGGAAGTCCAAGGCCACTACCAGGGCAGGGGAGCAACTCAGGGAGGGGTCGAGTGGCAAACAGGAGAGCAAGGTCCAGGGAGGCTGTCTCCTGGCCTCTGGGAGAGACTCCAGCTGCTCTAAGAACGCAGGCATTCACATGCTAACTCCGTTGCCTTATCTGCAAAATGGGGTTGATCATCCATGCCCTGCCCCCAAACGAGAAGCTTGTAGAATGTAAAGCACCCTAAACATATCAGTTATTATTATATTATGTAGGGAAGATGCAACATCCCCCACTCAGATCTCCAGGGACAGAACTACATACGGCCTTTCATTCATTTGAGATACTATGTTAGGCACTGTGCTGGGCACTGTACATACGTGGCCTCATGTAACCCTCCAACAACCCATGGGGTTGGAGCCGCTCTTGTCCTCATTTTACAGGTGAAGAAATTCAAGTTCAGGAGAATGAATTGCAATGCATTCCATCGTTTTGTTTACTCACGTAACTTTTACAAAAGCCTGCTCTGGGCCAGGCTCTGGGCCAAGTGCTGAGGTCACGAAGATGAACTAGTCCTTCCAGGAGACATGCCCATAAATTACTTTAATAACAACTCAGTACATGCTTCCGCAGACAAGCGAGAGCCAGAGAAGGAAGGGGCAACTGGTTCCCTGGGGTGATGGGGAAGGGCAGCTGACCTTTTGCGGGACCCTGCACTTCTAAGGAGCCAGCCATGGTGGCGAACACAAGGCCTGGGTTCAAGGGTCGCTTCTGTCAAGGCTCTGCTGTGTATTCCCAAGGAAACCCCTTCTGCTACTAAACGTGGACTTCCACCTGAAAAATTAGGGGATTTGGTTTGTGATTCTGCAGCTGGGAGCCCACACCTCTGATCAGTTCAGCTTCGGCCCAGCTAGTACCGAGCTGACCAAGACCAAGACCAAGACCCTTGCAAGGTGCTGACCACCCAGCACAGTGCAGCGCTTCTGGCCTGCAGCGCGGCTGGGGGTCCAAAGGGCGGAGCTCGGACGGGGGCGGGGCTGAGACCTCCGGAGGCGGGGCGCGGCCTTCCCAGGCGGGTCTCCTCCAGCCAATGAGCGCGCGGGAGCCGAGCAGCCCCGCCTCTGGATATAAGCGGCGGAGGAGGCGCGCGGCGGCGCAGAGGTCTCCGAACCTGAGCCGGTTCGCGGTGCGTCCTCCTCGCTCCGCCAGTTGCGGCCACGGGCGCCCAGGAGCTCGGAGTTGGTGCGTCCTGGCAGAGGCAGAAGCAGCGGGCCGGTTCTGCGTCCTTTTGTCCGGCTGGGCTGCGGGGAGGGCAAGGGACCCGGAATCCTTGTTGCAGTAGAACAGCTGGCCGGGTCGGGGAGCCGCCTGCGCCGACCGTCCGCCCGTCGTCCCCGCAGCCAGCCCGCCAGCCCGCCGTCATGACCGACCACCTGATGCTCGCCGAAGGTTACCGCCTGGCGCAGCGCCCGCCGCCCGCGGCGCCCGCACACGGCCCCCAGGCGCTCCGGACGCTGCAGCCCTACGCGGGCCCGGGCTTGGACAGCGGGTTGCGGCCGCGGGGGTCTCCGCTGGGCCCGCCGCCGCCACTCCAACCCGGGGCCCTGGCGTACGGGGCCTTCGGGCCGCCGCCTGCCTTTCAGCCCTTCGCGGCGGGGCCGCCGCCGACCGCGGGTAGCAGCGCGCACCTGCAGCCCGTGGCGACCGCGTACCCCGGCCGCGCGCCCGCGCCCTCCGGCGCTCCGGGATGTCCCCCGGGCCTGCAGCCCGCGCCGGGGTCCCCGGCCCCGCCGCCGCCGCCCGTGCACGCCCTGGGCGGCATGGACGCCGAACTCATCGACGAGGAGGCGCTGACGTCGCTGGAGCTCGAACTCGGACTGCACCGCGTGCGCGAGCTGCCCGAGCTCTTCCTGGGCCAGAGCGAGTTCGACTGCTTCTCGGACTTGGGGTCCGGGCCCCCCGCCGGCTCTGTGAGCTGCTGAGCCCGGCCCCCCGCCGCTTCCTTGGTGTGCGGGAGAGGAGAACGCGGTCTGCCCGCCAAACTGCTTACCCAGCCAGCGTCTGAGCGCGCACGCACCCTCCGTGAGGATGGAGGCCTCGGGTTGGTGCGCGGGGTTAACGCAGCCTGGACACCTGGCGTCGCCCCGGGCCCTGCCTCCCGCCGGAGGAGAGTTTGGCATCCCTTTTCTGACTTGGAGGCCCATCGGTAAAAAGGGCACTGGACCCCCGTTCGGATTCCACGATCTTGGATTCTGTGTCCTCTCCTCTCGACTCTCCCACCCTCCTCCACCCCCAATCTGAGCCATGCCAGGTCTCCGCCTGGTCCCCCCTCTCTCCTTTGGGTCCCTGGGTCCCTGGAGCTGCGCATTGACTGGGGCCTCTGCTCCCGCTGCCTGGGCCCTTGAGGTCGCTGGGCCTCCCGTCTTGGGGAGGGGAAGATTGTACATACAGCCCCTGCAGAGTGGGCCAGTGTCCCATCTGGCCTCCAAAAAAACAAAACAAAAAAACAACCACACAAAATAAAACTGGGTCACTTTACAGTCTTGCATCTTCATTTCCTTATCAGTCCAACCCTTGACTATATTTGGCTTCCAGAGTCCTGAGGCTGTTAGGGGATTGGGTTGGGATGGAGACCACAACCCCTGGCAGTGCCCAGGAGAGGAAATTGACAGTTTCTTTCAAAATATCTGAGTTGTGCAACTGTTATGTCATCATCTGGAAGGCAGACGCTGCCACCGCCAGAGGGCAGGGTAAGACAAGGGCACCATTGGATTCCCCAGCTCCTGGGAGGGGCAGCTTGGTGGTGCTGCCCCCACCTGTTGCTGGAAGAAGACTGCACAGAAGGTTAGAGGGGAGGTGGCTGGGGCGTGAGGATTCGGAAAACGCTGGCTTTGAGCCTGGTGCTCTCCCCTGTCCATACATCCAGATTTCTGGGGCTGTGTCCTCGGGGGGAGATGGTCCCAGTCTTGGGTGGTTATGAGGATCCAATGCAATGTGAGACCTTCAGCGCAGTGTCTGACACCTAGGCAGACCTCAGCGAATGATAGTGATGGTGATTCTTAAGAGGACCAGACGTCCCGCTTTGGGCGGGACAGTCCCGATTCTTAACAATTTGTCCCGAGTCCCACGGCGTTTTAAAAAAGTCCCGATTTTTTAAAACACCGTGGGACGCGGGACAAATTGTTAAACATCCAGATGTCTGGTCAAGTTGGTGCTACCTTTATTCCAGTCCCTGGGCCAACTGTTATGTGCCCTTCTGGGGTCATAGTTCAGGTAGGACTAGGGCAGTGGTCGGCAAACTCATTAATTAACAGAGCGGCTAACCGGTTCGTGAGCCGCATGTGGCTCGCGAGCCGCAGTTTGCCGACCACTGGACTAGGGGATGAAAGGTCTAGACATCAACTCATATTGGTGCAAGACTGTGATAAGGACTGGAAAACAGGACATTCCAGCAGGTAAACCCAAAGGAGGGAATGGTCTCAGCTGGTCGGAGATGGGGTCAGTGCAAGCTTTAGGGAGGTGGTGACATTTGCTGTGGTGATGAGTGCATCTTGAAGAGTTGGAGGAGGTGACCTGCCAGGAAGAGCCCGTTCGTCTAGAAGCGAAAAGGCCTAATGGCAGCTACATTGTGATGTAGGCACAGTCCCCACTCAACAGATGAGGGACATGCAGCTTGCTCAGGCCTGGCAGGATTTGGCCTCAATCCTGACCACCATGGTGAGCTCCTGACCACCCTCTGCTGTTGACTCTGGAAAGATCCTTAGGTGTTTCCAAGATGTAGGAGAAAGGCTAGAAGAGAGACTGAGGCAGGCAGGAGGCTGGCCGGCGCCAGCTCTGGAGCCAGCAGTTCAGGTATGGGGGACAAGAGTGTTTGGCAAATGAATAAAGGTCTCCCCTGAGATAATGGGGCTTTCTGGGGGCAGAATGGGGTGGAAGGGTTGAGAGATCTCTGAAAAGGGACTGGCCTGAGCTCTGGGCTCACAAAGGCCAGTGTTTGCCCTGGCTTTGCCCAGGACCCCAGACCAGAGACAGAAGCTGGAGGGCTGGATTGCAGGGGGTGGGGTGGGGAGGGGAATAGAGCCCTGGACTAGATACTGTTTTGGTTCTCTTCTCTCTGGGCCTCAGGTTCTCCACCAGTAAAATGGGGCTAATATCCCTGATCCGCTATTTCACAAGACATTAAGCCTCACAATAAGTGAGCAGCAAATTCGGGGATGGGTAGATAAGCAATTGATAAAATGTGTTCTCTCCTCTTGATTTGAGCCTGAGTGGAACAAGTCCTCTCTGTATGGAAGGGATTCCAATGAGCTGCTGAGTGACTTCCCACCCCCATCCCTCCTAAAAGGGCGGCTGACAAGCTGGACAACAGACAGGTAGGCAGAGGACAAGGCCAGAGCCCCCACCTGGACCCCAATACCCCTGACCTATGGAGGGTCTGACCCTCCCAGCTGGAGGGAAGAATGAAGTGACCCTGCCAGAGTGGAGAGCAAGCATGTCAAACTCACGGCCCGCCTGCAGGCCACATGTGGCCCACAATGAATATTTTTGCTGCCCAACCAATATAACGGTATGTAAGAAATGTTTTAATAAAAATTTTGTAACTTAATTTTTACAATATCCTGCTGTACATAATTATTAATAATGAACTACAATGTTCGCTCATGACTGATTATTATAATCAAGTTGTATTCCTTTCCCTTACGTGCCTTATTCACAGGCACACCATTTCTCTCCACTAATACCAGCAGCGAATATTTTAGCAGTGGATTGCCACATCATTAGTCTTGGACTGACTTGTTTGGTGTGCACAACAGGAAATATTTTGCTTTTGGAGAACAAGAAAATGGGTTTATTTGAGTTACACTTAATTCATTTGTGCTGTTATTCAGTGTCTGCTAAGTTAATGTTTAAGAAAAAAAAAGACTAATTTTTATTAAAATGTTCCATTATTTTATGTTAATGATTACTCATTTATTTCAGCCCTTTGACATGCTTGATTGTAGAGGCTTATATTCTGACAGCCTCAGGGCCCAGCTCCAGAAGCAGCTCTTACTAGCTGCCTGACCTCAAACAAATCAACTTACCTTCTGAGTCTCGGTGCTCCTACTGTACGGGCATACTACAGGTTCAGTAGATCACTGCAACAAAGTGAGTTGTAATCGTTTTTGCTTGCCTTCCATTTGTAAAAATGAAACATCTATGCAATGCAATAAAGCGAAGTGTAATAAATCGGGGATGCTTGTAATCACACCAGCTTCCTATGGATTCAACAGGTGTTTCTCACCTCGTCCCTGGGGCTGCCTCCTTAAAGCAACCTGCCTCCCTCAGTCTTGTTGCTTTCACTCTCATACCTTGGCTGGATCTTTGGGTCTGGGAGGCACATCATAGCACAAGCAAGGGGTAGAGACTAGGGTAAGGCAGGTGTCATTAGAGTCATAACAACAAGTGCCTCTAATGTGTTAAACTTGTGCAGTGGCCGCCTCCTTTGCCTCTCCTTTGTCCTGACTAGCACCTCCCTATCAGAGAAAATAAATTCTTTCTAGGGAATATCAACCTTATAGGTTGATATAATAAGATTCTATATAAAGTACCAGGTACATAGTAGATTCTTAATAATTGAGAGCAGCTGCTTTAATCATCTTCATCATCACCATCCCAGCTCAGCTCAGTGTTCCATAACCATTTGTTGAACAAATTAAATGAACAGTCTGGTCCTAGTCTTTTCCCAGGGTGCTTAGATCAGTTAGCTGATTATTAAGTAATCCTCTTGAATTTCTTAATCCATTCTTGCCTAATTCTATGCCCTGCTGTTAGAAATGCTGGGTCAGGATCACTGCTGATTTCAGGGCTAAGTCAGAATTTGTTGAGTCCTACTGTGTGCAGGTCTGATGAGGCCTAACAGCACCTAGTAGATGCTCTTTCTCATGCAGCCTCTCCTTTAACCACCACCAACCCTGTAAATTAGCACTGCTAAGTAGCTTCATCCCCATCCCAGAAGTCAGGAAATTGGGGCTCAGACAGTGAATTACTCCTCCAAGTGGGGTGAGCATGCCCACGCTAGTGTATCCAGGACCCTTCCCTTCCCAAGCAGAGGCTGGCCACGGATCTGAGGGGAGCAAGAGCAGGGTCCCAGACCTGATTTTGCCACTTTGTGGCAATGGATACAGAGGAAGTCACTGAGACTCCTTAGGCCTCAGTTTCTTCCCCTGTACAATGGGGAAGAATAATCCCAACTTCAGAGGTGTGTGCGCAAGGATTCAAATGAGACCCGGTTTCTGAGAGCGCAGAACAAACCGCGCAGTGCTGTGTGGTTGGGAGGAGTTGGGTTGCATAGCCATGCCCTCCATCCCTAGACCCCTGGTCTGGAGAGGGGAGACAGGCACATACTTTGGGACTTGAGATCTGGGCCTGCCGGGAGTGTGCAATGTAGAGACACACGTTGGGGGACCTGGGCAGGTGCTGCCAAGTAGCTCAGGTCTGAGAAGCCCCCGAGAGCTGGTGGTGATGAAGGGTAGGGAAGGACATCCGGGTAAAGGCCCAAGGCTGGAAGTGTGCCCTGCAGGTAGAGGAAATACAGGAAATATAGGAGCTGTTGTTGGGAAACATGACCACAGGGACGAGGAGGAGAGAGCCTTGTCCCCGCCAGCCTCCAGGGCCTTCCCAGCCAGCCTCCACTCCAGCCACCCGGATACACAGCGTTCCTTATGCCTCAGCTCCAGGCCCTTTTCCACCTGTGAAAAGGCCACATATTGGGGTTGCTGAGGAGTCTTTACCCCTAGACTGTGAGGTTTTGAGGACAGAACCTGATTTCTCCTTGCCCCCACCTCCATCCCACATGTGGCTCCGTGTGGGTGTTAGGAAGCTCCAGAGAGGAGTGACTGCCCCCAGTCCTGAGCTGGGGAGCTGCAGCTGAAAAATGCCGCTGGGCTGGGGTCTGAGTTGCAGTTGGGAGCTCTGAGCTCTAGTCCCAGCTCAACCATGAACTTGTGAGCTCTCTACACTTTGTAGACAGGACCACATTCCTCACCCCTCACACCTCACAGGTGCTGGGGGGCAGTGAGACTAGGCTGAGGGAGGGGGCAGGGAAACACAGCTTTCCCCTAGCATGTCGGGGGGCCAGCACTGTGAGGGCAGCAGGCCTGGCGTGCACTTTCTCCTTCAATCCTCACTGTAGCTCTGGGAGTTGGGTGTAGGTTTTGGCCTCATTCTATGGAGGCTAAGCAACCCACTCAACCCTAACACGGCTCTTCAGAAGAGGGTGTTCTTATTTGCAGGATGAAGAGAGGTCCAGATATGCCACAAAGAGCAGGGGTACGGCCAGGACAGGGAGTCTCACACAGCTCATTAGAAGGTGGCAAAGACTTTCTCCTTTGCCTCCTCCTAGTGAGCAGCTTTAGCTGGGGGCTTTGCCATAAAATTGGCACATCCAGGCAGCACCTCCCCCTTGGCACCTCAGCCTGCTCCGGCTAACCGAGAATGAGGCTATTATTATTTGTTTGTTTTTAAAATACATGCTTGAGCAGAGCTGGCATGGCTCAGTGATTAAGCATCAACCTATGAACCAGGAGATCATGGTTCAATTCCCAGTCAAGGCATATGCCTAATTGGACTTCACATAATGTATTTTGGAAATCTTCCCACATCATGGCTCTACCTTCATCTTTTTAATGACTGAATTGTGTATAATCTACTTAACCAGTCTCCTAGTGATGGAACTTTAGCTTGTTTCCCAAATTTCTCTGTCACCAGTAATGCTACAAAGAGCTGCCTTGTATATTTATCTTTAGACTCCTGTGGGGGTATCTCTGTAGAATGGTACCTCTAAGGGGAATTGCTGGGTTAGAAGATATGAGCAAATACAATTGTGATAGGCACTGCCAAATAGTTCTCTGAGTGGCTGATTCATTTACCTTCCTGCCAGCACTGTTGGCTCATACCCTTGACTACGCTAGACATTAGCAATGTCTTCAATTTTTGCCT